TGGTTAGTTATGTCGTATTGTTTTAGTTTTAGTTTTTTGTTTTGGTTGGTTTGGTTTTTAGTTTTCTTTTGGTTCGTACTATATAGTAGACAACCTTACGTCTCTACTACTCTCTCTCTCTCTCTCTCTCTCTCTCTCTCTCTCTCTCATATTTGTAGTATAGAAACTGGATCACTGAGTTGGTTTGGCGGTTGAATCACCGATAATCATACTCTAAATTTTATATCACTATATATGGGACGTTCGAATATCGACAAAATAGGTGATAATCATCATTATTATCATCATTTGAGTCCTATCCCAATTATTTGGAGCCGCCTGCACGAATTCTGCTCTTACTATTTTGCTTTCTTTAGGCCATACCCTCAATCAGATTAAAGTCGCCTTATCTCTTCCACTATTTCCATCTATATTCTTTTGGGTCTCGTTTTTGCCCTTTTAGAGTCTACATTTAACCACATCACCCTACTTAACCGTTCTAGGGTGATAATGCACATGGCCATAGTACCTAAATCTACTTTTCCTCATCTCATCGCCTATTTGAGCGGCTTCATTTCTGCCAAACAAGTGATACTTGTCAATTAAAAATATTGCAAAATGAGCATAAGGGTCAAACAAACTTGAAATATTATTGAGATGGTCAAATCAATAACAAAGTGGTTACTTGTTGAAAGTCATTTTCTCCGGTACTTTATTAGCTATTTTGTTTAAAAGATCCCAAACTACCCTTGTTCAAGATACGAAGCTTTAAACAAATTAGGGAATTTTAGTAATTTGGTTACTTATATTACTTGAGCCAAATGGCTTAAATATTTTTGCTTGATCTGAATTCTAAACCTGAAACATTTTATTTTATTAAAAGAACATTGTTCATGATTTAGAACCGGGATGACTTAACTGAGGCCAAATTAACAAAATACTCAAACTTGTTGTTACTTCCCAGTTAGGAACAAGTTTTTTTCAACAAATAGCGTATTTCTAGTTTGGAACTCAAAACAACTAAGGGTATTTAGGCCATTTGATCATAGGGCTTAAGTTGGTCAAATAACAAAATAACATTGCTCGTTAAAAGTTACAAAATTGTAAGAAGAGCAACCTGAGTGTTTTTTGACAAAAGTCTGGAAGAGGTACCTAAATGAAAAATCTTAAAAATGTTACGACTTAATTAAAAAAATTCTTAATTTAACGACCTCATATCCATACAACGCTATAATAGGGTACTTGCCAAATCATATAATATAGGAACATAAGTAAAATATGGCGTCTAGAAACACCAAATTGTGGCATTAGAAAATGATGTGGCCTTCTTGCCAAGTGTATCTGCTACCATGTTGGCCTCGTGATAACTATAGAAAATAGACCACCTACAGCTTGAAATGTTATGTCAACAGTTGGATGCTATCGTATGGAGTGTCCATAGAGCTCTACAGCTGCCTTGAATGACATTGACGAGTAGGGCTAAATCACTTTCGATATCAAGGGGGAAACAATCGAGTTGATAGGCCAAGTCAATAACCCCTTCAAAGCATAGAATTTTGCATAGTGGTTAGTGGCAATACCAAAAGGTGTGGCAAAAGCAGCAATGAAGGCACCACCACTATCTTTGATAACACCACCTCCATCCGCTCTTCTCGGATTCTGAAAAGAAGCCCCGTCAACATTGAGCTTAAAATGTTGAGGGTATGGAAAAGACCAAGCAACTCGAATAGGGGTTTTAATTTTTGTTGGTGCCATGGGATCTGTAAATTTTCAATTATTGCCTTTTTCGATATGTGGAAGGCCCAAGATTTGGCATATGCTAACTCGCAAATATGATAAGTGATTATTCTAAGCAATTGCTCTCCCCTTGAAACCTTCATCTAAAAACCTCTATAGTTGCCCACGTTCCATATAAACCAAATGCGGTGAAAAAAAGAGATATTCAAATATTAAGAAGCCCATCTGATTTGAATCTAACCGCGATCCAATTTTTTAACATTATTATGATGGATGTGCTTGGAATGAGACGTTTACCGCACATCCATGCAATGGATTTTCAGAGGCCCTGTGAGAAAGTATATTTGAATAACATATGCAAAATATTGTCACCATTATTTCTACATAAGGGGCATACTATTGTTGCGTGTGGGTGGCCATGGGGTTTCATATGTGCCATATTTTTCTCTCTTAATATAATTAATATTTATTCTAAAATTATAAAGTAGTTTTAATGTTTATCACTAAAAGGATTTTTAGAGAGAGAAGATGCTCTCTCCAACAAATAGAAGATAACTACTCATCTCCCAAGTAAAGACGGCCACCTTCTTAGATATTCCCTCTCTATAAGTTAGAGTCTATTTTTCTATCATACACTACAATATCTATGCCAAATTGATAACCAAAACTATGTAGTTCTTTTTTATATATACATTTTTATTTCTTAATTATTTATCTAATTTTATTTGATTACGTAATATTAATCATACTCTATCCACTGCCAAAGCTAACTATTTATAGTTCAGGATTGAAATGTTACTCTTTCTTTAAATGGAACCCACCCTTATCAACAAAAGATTAAGGTAAAAAGAGTTATAAAGAGCCGTAACCCACTGCTGGTCCCGCCTACACCAGGTCCCAGGAGAGGTGGGATAGAAATGATCCAAACCTTTAGCTTTTTATTGAAACGATCTCGGGAGGGGTGATTAAGGTATACCAGTTATAAATCAGTCTTTCCAAACACCTGATCTACAATCTTCTAATTTTACTACTCTGGATGAATACACATCTTCATACCATCTATATTCTGATAGGGATTTATAGCACCTAGAATGCAATAATATTACCAACCTCTGATTGGTCATGAGAATCTAGAGATAATAAAAGTATGTATTCCATGCATGATATACTTTTTTACAAAATTTACTCAAAAGTATATAGATATTTTATCCTGTCCTAAAATATGTCTTTATCCAAAAGAGATAGGACTTGTTGTAAATAAAAAGATGCCTTACATCACAACGTAAACTTCACTATTTAAAGGTCACATAATTGCAACCTCTCTAGCGATAGGGTCTCCGTTCTTATGCCATATATCGCCCCTTAACCAAGTCTTAATAATGTAGTATAGCTACCACAAATATATCAAGTTGCACTATACATTATGAACCTAGAGCACCCCTTCCTTGGTCAAGTGCGTTGCCACCATCAGTATAATTCATGGGAGTGGGCAGTGCAATGGCGCTGGCATCATCTTCAGAGGCTGAACTGCTACGCGGCGGAGTGCTTTCATCTCCACCAATTTCGATTTCTCTCGCACTCCTCTCCCTTGTAGGCAGAACTGACGAATGATCCCTCTTACTGAATCCTACAGCCACATCCTTAAACCTTCGCCACAGGCATTTTCTAGGTTCTGCAGTATCACTTACTCCGTTGTGATTTTTATTCCAATTGCAAATGGAGAATCGAATAAAAATAGCTCCAATGCAAGTCATTCCGATGATGAGGAATAAAACCCAGAAGCAATCCAAGCCAAGGCCCCTTGAGGCAGTTGAGGGGGAACTATGGTAGCCATACAGAGCCCTCTCTAAGGAAGTCATCTTGTCTCCTTCAGTTACGTTGAGGATTGCCTCAGAAATATCAGAAAGTAGTAATGAGTTTTTGGGGAGCACCTGGCACATAGAAAGAAAAGATCAGGCATAAGAACTATGTAAGTATTAAATTGAGAGGCATTTTAGCATATTATTGGGATTACTGTTTCAAAATTCGAATCGATGTGGTGGATTATCCACCCCACGAACTGTGTCAGATCGCAGGATCACCCGTTTTGATGGGTCTGAATTGTCGAACAAGAAAATTATTAAAAAAGAATAAGAGAGAAGAGAAATTAAAACACGGGCTCATGAGGTAGGGGATTTTAGGGACCTAAGAAAGAAAAAGAAAAAAGAAAAAAAAATACGAAATGGGTAGAACGGGGTTTGGTCAGTTGGGCAATTGGGTTAGTACATATACCTTCCTAGAACAAGTTTGGTCTCAGCCGATTCTTAGTTCAAATAAGCTATTCTTGAGCTGGATTTCCAGGTTTTGAAACACTTAATGCGAGAAATCCTAAGGCCAGCATCGAGTGATAAAGTTAGACTGAAAGGACAAGGGAACCTCTTGCCTGAGATTAAATTACAAATAAACAATTAATCAATAGGAATTTCCATATCAAGAGAGTAAGGTAAGTCCCTGTTGGGAAAGATGATGATAGAAGACTTATTGGTCCCATGGGACCAAATTGTATAGGATGGGTTTTGGTAGACATCCTAGAGATGAATTCTGGGCCTCAAACTTCACAAGTCAATGATCACAACCTTATGAATTTCAAAAAAAAATGGATTTTGAATTTTATTTCAAACTTTGTTCTTAGACTGTTCATGATAATTTCATTTTATCTATACTGTTTTTTGAACTGCAAAATTATGGATCTAAAATGGAAAGGAGTGACTTGGAATATGTTTCAAGCCATTAAATACAAATCTCTAAGATAGATTTTTGGAAGAGAGCCACATTTAAACTTTTCCCACATTTAAACTTTTCCCAATAGTACATTTGGTTCACCAGCCATATAGAGAGATATTTGTGACATCAAAGCTCTCAAATAATATCTATTTATGGCTAAAAACTAATTTCCATTTCATAAAATGCTCAATAATTGTAGCTCCAAAATAAAAGTATAGGTCATCCATTTGATGGGCTATCAAACAATCGTTGCAACCTTGCTACGTCCATCCATCAAAAAGTGGTCCACAGTAAATTTTGAAATGAGCATTGGTTTGTACTTTTTAATTTTTGGGCTTCAAATCAATTTTTTTATTGTTAGATTGCTTGTATACATGATTTTATTTCATTCGAGAGTTTTGTGGCCAATCAAATCCCCCTAATGAGGTGTTTCGCTGGTGAGACCAAGTGTATAATATGCTTCGGCACACCACAAGATACTTAGGATTGATATCTAGTCATGCTTAATTTATAAAATTCCGGTGAGTGATTCATGTAAGGGCTCTGAAAATTTCAGGTAAAATACAAAATGTTTTATGCATAAATTATAAAAGAAATCCATTTTAAAAAAAAAAAATTCAAAATTGTATTTTTTTCAACTTGAATTTTGATTTTTTTTATTTTTTCATTAGTTGGGCAGTGCCGTACAAACCAAAAAGCTAAAAAAAATAAAAATTTGGGTTGACCGAAACGCAATTTTAAAAAATATAAAAAAAAAAGGTTGATCAACATTCTTTTCTCTTATAAGCGAAGCAGTTTTTATTTTACCAAAAATTTTAGGGTTCGTATCTAAATTACTCAATCTCAGTGGGTTTGTGTGCGAGAGAGAGAGAGACCAGTCATGCTAAAATCATAAAATTCCTGTGAACTGTCTATATGAGAGCGACCATTCATGCAAAAATCATGAAAGCCATGTGCAGGTGTGTGAGAGAGATAGAGAGACCAGTCATGCTAGAGTTATGAAATCGTGCAAGTGTATATGAGTGTGTGTAAGAGAGAGAATAACCATGCCAAAGTCATAAAATCCCTGTCCACGAGAGAAAGAGAGAGAACCCACAAAACCAAAGCCCCCAGTTCGGAAAGTCAGCCCGACCATGGTGAATTTGTCGTGATAGTAAGAGAGGAACACTTTGATAATGGGAGTAGAACCGACTATTGCTCCAACCGAACCATTGAATAGGGCCTCTGCATATTCATCAGCTGTGCAATAGGCCTTCAGTCTTGACTCTGGAAATCCCAAGTTCATCAAGGACCCCTTCACAAAAGAACCATTCTGATGTCCCACACACTCCCCATTCTTAAGCAATGTGTTCACATCAGTAACAGTGGGCTTTAACTGCTCCACAGTTAAAATGGAAGACAAGTTTGCCGTGTAACTACTGCTTAATATGAGCAGTAGAAATAACCATGTGATAAGTATAAACCGTGACAAATTGCTGGTTATGTGATCACCTGGTAAACAGGTTAAGTTAAACAGGTTAAGGAAATCATGGCCATACAACAGAGTCCTACAATAGGGAAACAAGCATCATAGAACTGTAGAATTATGCATTGATCTCTACAACTTGTAGGTCATGCTCGAGAAATAATTCATGAGGTCCCCTTTATCTGAATTTATTGTCCAAATAAACCCACCCTTTATCTGAATTTATTGTCCAAATAAACCCTGTGTCCCATCAAAATGCAATGGAACGCCTCCTTATTTTCCCTTTTCTTGGGGGTTGTAGTTTAGTAGTAAAGTAAGAATTGGGGGTTGTAGTTTAGTAGTAAAGTAAGAATCGAACTTGAGATGTAGTGCTGTTAATTATCAGTTACCAACCACTCAAGATTAAACCCGATTCCTCTATGGAACCCCTCTTATGGTAATGCTCCTAGTCATCAGATCTTGATCGGATGGTTGAATATGCATATCACTATTGAATTTTAATATTTTTTAATAAATTGATTTTAAGTTGAAAGTTGAGCCTTATATACTTGACACCATCATGCACAATATAAAAATATTTTAAAATTTTTAAAATGATTAAATTACCCCCATCATTTTCACGGGTAGTTTGATCATTTTAAGTTTTGAAAAAATATTTCTTTTAGATTTCTCTTGTGTGCCCCAATACAGCTGACACGCCGCTAAACTTCATCTTAAACCGATTTGTAGATAAAAATTAAAATTTAAATACTAACATACATTTCAACTATCTGATCATGATATGGTGGTTGGGAGGATAACCGGAACTGCTGTTCATTTCAAGTGACAACCTATTAGTTACCTATTAGTTGCCATTTTCTTAATCCTATTTCTTTAAAATGAATGGGGGCATTTTGTTATTATAAATGATAATGATGATATTTGCACTAAATGACAAAAGATATGTTTGTCATCTCGAGAAATGAATATTTAAAATATTTACTAAAAAACAAGGGCATTGTATAATAAATTGTAAACACCTTTTAAAAATTGTAGCCAAAAATAATTCTTAAAAGCCATGATTCTAAGTCCTAAGGACCACAATAATCCTAATGTGCCATGTTAGCGTAAGCATAGTTTAATTATCCCAAAGGGCCTTTCAAAACCCATCTCAAGCCATGAAAGTCTAAGGAGAAACATTACCAAAATGCCCTTATGCGGAACAGAGTGTCACGCACGGGCTGCGAGCCATACAGCATGTCGCGCACGGTCTGCAAGCCACACAGCATGTCGCTCGGTTGGATTGACCCAGGGTCATCCAAATTCTTTTCCAGATGAAATTTTAGATCAGTTTTATTATGAAAAAATCCGAAAATTGGTCATTCATGGATTAGGAAATTCGTTCAACCTGAACCTAAAGCTTATAAATACCTCTAAATTCCCAAAAAATCATTCAAAACATATCCTAGAAAATTAGATAAAAAAATACCTAGAAATATTGGAAAAACCCCATAAAATTAGAAAAGCCCTGTAGAAAACTAGACGATTATGACAAACGAAATTCAATTTTGCTTGCTTGTAGGCCTATATCCACCGTTCCTGTGATGGATGACCAGCAATCATTGAAAATAGTGAACTCGTTTTCTCCATTTTTCTTTGGGGGAGTTCACATTTTCTTTTCTTGATTTAGATCCGATATAAGTTCTATATGTGTGCAAACTTTGCGTTGCAACAAACCCCTCTAGCATTAATAAGCTTATGCCAGTATAAGCAGATGAACTTATGTAATTTTTCCCATATATGTATGTAGGGGAGCATGGTCTTAATGCTCAGCCAAAGTACTAAATCCAAATGCTCAGCCAAAGTACTAAATCCAGTTTAACTCCTGTAATTAGAAGAGAGAAAAAAAAGAAAAAGAAGAAAGCTATTCTGCTTGGTGTTGATTATAGATGATAAAGCGTTAAATTTGACAAAAAAAACATTATAAATTAGGATTGTGGAGTACTTACGATGTGCAAAAACGAGCATTGAGAAGGAGAAATAGAGAACGTTGCCCAATTGTTCTTTCCATGGCCGTCGAAAAGCAGTGTTTATCCCATGCTCCAAAACCCAAACCACAGAGGGAATGATGAAGAAGAAAACTGTGATTAGAAACCAAAGCTCCCAAGTTAATGGCTTCAAGAAAGCCAAAGCTTTGCTTCCGCTCTCCTTCTTCAGAGGTACTAACAATGAAATTCCTGATTCTGTATATGGGGGGGTGAAGTCCACATATTTCGATCTGTTCGCGTTAATGGTCACATCTCCCACCACGGCATCATACGTCTGCTACCGAAAAGCCATTGCATATTGATTAATTAAAAGGAAAACCAGCTTATAACGATAAAACAATTGAATAGAAACACTCAAAGATACCTTCGAAGTTCAAACTGTCTAAATACTAGAATTTTTCATGTGTTTCACATGAAATAATACACAAATAACTGGAAACATTTCAGTGAAAGTTTATAATTCAAAAACTGATGCATGAAGATGTGGAAGAAACAACAAAGAAGTATGAAACAAAGTTATGCATGCTTAAAGGATGAATATCATTTTTTACAATTGGGGAAAGTTTGCACAGTATATTGTTATTTAACAACTGTTTTCTATCATAATTATGCTTGTCAATTTTGATAGATTTCAAAATATGGGGTTTCCCCATTATTTCATAGAATGGCTATAAAACATGGGGGACAATGACATGTGTGGTAAGTTAACATAGAGACGGAGAATGAACCGTGATTATAGGATGATAAAGAAAAATATGAAGTGTAGTATAGAAGCAATTTGATATGGTTCAATAAAATATACTAATCTATCTAACTAAAGCAAGTGGATTGGAACAAGCTAACAGGATGAGCATCTAAACTGTCAGTCAGCTGAGTGTCTAAAAGATGGTTTAATAAATATTAGTACTGACCCAATTTTAATTAATCTTACATTAATTGGGAATTACCTTCTTTAGATCATTTCTAGTTTTGAGGGTGTAAGTTTGACACCACCAACCACTGAATATCTTCTTTTAGGGTGTTATTCAAAAGCTTAAGTCATTTTTCAAAATAGGTGTTAGGGGAGGCATCAGGGATGGCTTTTACATAAAATACAGTGGACCATTTTGATAAGAATATCTATTCTCTTAACATAGATAGACCTTTATCCCATGATCATTCCTCACATTTCATTGGTAGCTTACCCCAAGATAGACCTGATAAACCAATTCGTTATATGTCCCTGCACTTCTGCCTTCACCATCTTCAAATGGAACAAACTCATAAGGCAAGGCATAAGGCAGAGCCTCCACAACTGCAGTAAAAACATCAATCGAAAACCCCGTCACCTTTGTCTTATTGTTGCCTGGGTCCCGCTCCACCTTCACAAATTCCTTGAAACCAGACTTTACGGGAACGCCAATCTTCAACTTGGCGCCGTTTGTTGGAAACACCCAACCCTTCGGCACGGAAGTTGATTCCCCAGGCCAGATCACTGCTCTAAGATCTGCCATTGCTGCAGTGTAACCTTTTTCCCTTTGTAAGGTTTGTTTGTTGAGTGTGCGAGAGAGACCGAATTCTGGTGACCAGAACCCAATCTCTCTTGTTCCTTTCCCTACGATGTTGATTATTTGAAAGGTAGTGGCCTGCAGCTCTCCATTAATGAAACGGATATGGCCTGTTAAGCCCTGGAATTGTGTTTTTAGGATTGCCTTTAGGAGTCTTGGGCCTGCTAGTGAAATTCCTAGATTTGATAGTTCAGTAGAGTTTCCAGTCAATTTTATGGCACTTGCCTGCCAGTAATTCAGGGCTCTGGTGCCAGATTTCTCTACTGCGAGAGCCAGAGTCCAGGTAGCATCATATGCTCTTAAAGCAAAAACATTTAAATCAGGGAGTTCTATTTCATTGGGGTACACTTCTCTATGATTTCGCTTCCACCTAGCGGTGAAATTGTCCAAACGTTCTGATTTTTCTATGTACCCCGTCACCCCCAAGACCCCTTGCATTGAGTCTATGGTTGAACGATCCATCGAGTTCAAGAGACTGACCAGTCCATCTGTTATGATCCAAGCATAGTCCTCACTCATCATATCGATCATTTGAGCCATTTGGAATAAACGGGAGGCAAGAGGAGATGACATGTGTACTATGAAAACCCGAGTTTGCATGGTCATCAGTTTATAGAGCTCCTCCTTGATGAATTCATCAGAGGCAGAGGAGGGGAGAACTGTTCGCTGTTGAATTCGAGAACCGACATCCAAGACAGCATCACTTAAGTATGGAATGAAGCTGGCTCCGTACTCCGTGTCTTCATATATGGCTACTGCTTGTCTCCATTTGTAGGCTTCGAGGAGAGAGGCGATCGGCTTTGCTTGCGCCGAGTCGTTGAGAGTTGCTCTTACAAAATAAGGAGTGCTGGTGGAGGAGAAAGGAGAGGTTGCTGAGAAGGAGAGAATGGGGACATGAGATTTGTTTGCAAGATCAGCCAAAAACTTGGCCTCTGCTGATGTTTGTGGGCCAAGAATGGCTTGCACCTCCATATTCTTCATCAGGTCCAAAGCTGTGTGACACACAAGCAATGAATCAACATCAGGACACATAACAAAATGTTTCAAAAATAAGTTCATAGTGCATATACTCCTAAAAATTCCTTTTTCCTTCCCATTTTAGGGAAATTCCCTTGGTAATCTAGGAATATGTTTTGTTTTCTTCTTTCTTTCATTTTTTTTTCGATGAAGCTCATTTTGACAATATCTGGACTGCAAATTGAAATTTTATTTTTTTGTACTTCTAGATTGATTATTGGAATAAAATGAGTGCATGCAAAAAATTTGGGGTCACACAAATGCCACAAACATGGTTTTCTAGATGTGTGGTTTCATTATAGTACAATGTCACCATGACATGAGATCATTTCCCAAATATTAATTCATTACATACCCAGTTTCACTATAAATATTAATTTATGATTTACTTAATTTCTCTACAAGCAAAACTTCTTTTTATTTGTTGTACTTAGAAGTCGATATAAATAGGGAGAAAGACATATATCCCCTTTTCATAACTATTATTCCATATAAAACCCTTAGGTCCAAGGGATGCTGATGGATCTCTTCTAAGTTAAAAAATTGAATATTTAATCACCTCACTTATTCATTGTCCAAATTAAAACATTTATCCATATTCATTTTTAGTGGCCTTGTCACTAGAAAAGCTACTGCTCCCTCTTTCTCTTCATTACCCATATGTTTAAGTGAAATTTTGACAACCATTGGAACTTCACTTGCAGCTCTAGCGAAAGACTAAAGACCCCTTTACATAAAGTCAGTCGCAACTATGCAGGATGAAGACAGTACCCGGCATTACATACAACACCAAATGTTGACTAAAAGGAGTCCCAATGGTAGCACTTCCTTTTAAACACGCCGGTAGTCTTTGTCAAACTGGCGACACCTCTTTTTTTTTATATATATTTGGATCACTCTAGTGAATCCTTTTATCCCCTCTATTTTATTATTCTGCTCTGATAAAATTTATAAGTGTCCCGATCTCATCAAGATGCACCGGCAAATGCGAGAAGTTCTTTTTCCTTGAGTTTGAACCTCAGAGATATGTCACCAAATCGTCGGGTAATATATCCTAGACCCATGACCCCTTAAAAATAAGTCATGACAACAAAAAGATTTCGTAAGGAATTTTATAAAGAAATTTAACCTTACATAAAACATAGGAAAGAAACACTTTCCAACGGAAGACTTTAATCAAAATACAACATTATTTGTTGTATTATTGATTGAAGTCTCCATGAGTTAGTGGATCTAGCAATCACAATGGCCCAGTACAACATGATTACTCTAGTATAACGCCTATAAAAAGGCACCAACCAAGATAAAAGCTGGTGTAGAGGACAAACGCAAATAAACTGGCAGAAACAGAGATAAAAAAGGAACACAGTAGAAGGCCATTTGCATGCGAAGGACTTTGAATTCATTTTAAAGAAATAAATGGGGGTGCTTTGGTCATGAACTTAGTGTCTTGGACTGAAATCAAAGGGGCTTAAGGTGCAGACCGGGTGGCAAAGGATGGACTTGTTTCTCGGGGCAAGACTAAGGATACTCTATCTCTTGACAAGGTTAGAAACTTGTGATGTAGCGCTATGAAAACCCAGCTGCTACCGTCTTAACTCAAGCCTTGATTCTTAAAGATACTCTATCTCTCTCTTTCCAAATCTTTTCCAATTTCTTTTGATAGTTTATTTTTTTTCATTTAATATACATTCTCATACTTCAAGTAAAATACTTTATTTTCCCTATGCAACATTCCCATGCATATTGAAGTATACCAAGTCGGGTATAAGTTAACACTCCTAATTTTTTTTAAATACAGATGTCAATATTTTCAAGAAAAAAATGGTTCAGCTCAAGAATGCCAATCCGGACCAGTTTTGATGATGGGCAATACTGGTCACGGATACATTTGTCTGTGTGTGTGAGAGAGAGTGTGAGAGATAGAAAGAGAGCGTATATGCAACAGAGAGAGATAGCATGTGTGTTCTAGAGAGAGACATAGGATGAGAGAGAGAGAGAGAGAGAGTACCAGCTGAAGCTGCCCCAACAACATCTAGATCTGAATCTCGAATATACAAAGATAGTCTAGTGAAGTAGTTTGGATGGTCCATGTAGAAATCGTGGAGGGCCATACTTATGCACGTGTTGGCCACCCTCCCAACCCATGAATCAAAACCAAGGACCACCCCTACATTAACTGATTCTGATCTTGATTCCGATACCGCACAAATGCATAGCCACAAAGGAATAAGCCTCACAACAAAACAACTGCCCATCTCTCACTTTTAAGCTCAGCTCACTCAAAGCCTAGGCCCCCTTTAAGTAGCAGAGAAAATATAGGAAATACTAAGCGATGATGATCTCATGTATTCTCCATTTCCGATATTGCTAGTTCACTCTTTTTGGTTTTTTTTTTTTTTTTTTAGGAATTCAGCCTAGGACGTAGCATTGCAAATAATCAAGCATTGACCAAATAAGCCCCGGCTCTTAAATCGTCAAGTGTTGACCAATTAAGCCCCAGCTCTTTTTGATATTAGAAGTTTACTTTCTTTTTAAAATATAAAGCCTATTTGGCATTTTGGACAGAATTCTTCAAACCCTTAACCACTCTTACCTAAACGGATATGTCTACCACTAAATCAAAATTTAGGAGGAAACTTTCAGTAAGTTCTAGCCTTCTAGGCACCATTTTGTCTGTGTTTAGAAGAGTGAACACTAACTACGTCCCCCTAGGAGCATATATATTGTACACTTAGTCCCTTGAGTCAAAGAGCTACTTGGAATGGTTTTTTTATCTGAAATTTTGAGATCTACCTAAAAATCACTATATGATTAGTTTTCCCAAAAAGTAAATATATTTCTAACTATTCAACACTTAGAGCTCACCTTAAAAAATTGGGCGATGTATGTTCGAACGCACCACATTAATTTTTTCAACACATCTATTTGGAAAGAAAAAAAAAAAAAATTGAGGTTAGTTATAAGGTGGAAGAGGTTATCTGTCCTAAAAAAATCACAAATTCGGTTTTACCCGAGGGAGTAAATTGACAACATACTCCTTTTGGCTTTTCTCTTTTCATTAAGAGAACTTATATAACTCCATAAAGGACTTTTATGACACTTTTAAAAACTTTTGACTATTTGCAGTTGGTTTTCTGGCCCTTTATATCGTAGTTGACTAAGTAGTTTGGCCGTTAACAAGAAGAATTTTGCAGATGTCACAAATGCATTATAAATTTGCCAGGCATTCCTTGCCTATGTATCCAAATTTTCATTGGCTGGCCAATTCCAAGTCAAATTCAGAGCCATCCTTGGGATTTCAAAAATTTCAAGTAAATGAAATGCAAATAAACTTGAATTATATATCTGGAATCCTTCTTTTCATTGCTCGACACTCATAAAAAAATGCCAGTTATATATATTGAATCATAGAGTTGAAATCAGATGTGATACTACGAGTTTTAAACTTAGAAATAAAGCCTTATAAAGAGGGAAGATTTCACGAGATCTACTTGGTAAACGGGTTGATTATTCGGGTCATTGTGGTGGGCCATTCACTATTGCCTGGAAGTAACGAAGGTTAGACCAACATGAACTTCAATGGGAACTTCACGCATCGATCTAGCCACCACCAGAGCCACAAAGGACTGTTTAAGTCGATTCTTTTGACATTAAGCTGCCACCAATGAATTGCTTTGGCTGTCAACTAAACTAAACAAATACTGAGACATGCTATGATATTTAAGAAACTAGGGCTTCCAAAGCACCCTTCAATTGTTTAGATTAGAAAGAGAAAGGCATAAATGATCACAATTACATGCATTATTTTAAATTTAATTTTTCTAATAGTTGGATCGACATAAAATTTTGAAGGTGGTTGTGTCACACTTAGGTGCACCTAAGAAGACTGTAAAATAAATAACTTTTACAAATAAAATCACCATAATACCCCAAAATCATTCAAGAGTTTTTTTCAAATCATTTTTATTTTTTTATTTTTTTTAGGTGCACCTGATTGAGCGTTGTGGACATCCAAAATTTCAAAATAAACAAAATCATAGTAGAAAGGTAAAAATAATACATTACATGCAATCTAGACCTCCAGTTTTCGTTTTCTTTAATAAGAAATTGTTAGAAAGGTGCTTGTGCACCCACCCTTCAAACATACAAATCAAGTGGACATTATACTCTTCTTGTGAACATTAGAAGGCAATTTCCATAATCCCTTGCGTGTCATTAAGACTAAGAAACTTAAAGCTAGAAGTGTCCCATAAAAGCAAAGATAAAAATAAAAAGCTAGAAGTACTAAGGAAATTTCAAGGAAGTTTAAGAGAACTGTTGTATACCTCTCAAGCGTAATCCATTGGCAAACATCTACGTAAATTTATGCAAAACAAATGATACGATGATATCATGTTTAGTAATAAAAGAAGGGTTTAAGTTTCGTAGAGCCTTGGGTTGACTTGACAGGGAAGAGGTATAGAACTATAGCTATTGAATGAAACTGGTTTCAGTTTCATGGGCCTTAGGGTTGAATTAACCGTGAAAATAAATAATTAAACGCAATTTTTTTCTTATTTTCTATGTTCCCCATGAGATTTTTTAACTTCAGAGAAAAAAGAAAATTGGAAAAAATTCAAAAATAATAAATTTTTTTTATCTTGAATAAAGGTTGAGGACCTCTGGTCCTTGTCATTTCCATCATTTCTTTTGAATTGCAGTGTAGCCAACTGTAAATAGCTAGAATAAAATGGTTGTAATGATGATGATTATCACATATTTTGTCGATATTCTAGTCCGTGATGTAAAATTTGGGGGTATGATTGAAGGTCAAATAACCGTGATCTGGTCCCCCACTGTCTTAAGAATTATTCAATCACTTGTCAACTGCCAAACCGACTTAGTGGTCCAGTTTCTTACTGCAAGTATGAGAGAAAGAGAGAGAGAGAGAGAGAGAGAGAGAGAGAGAGTTGAGTAAAGTCTGCTTCATATATGGGAAAGAATAAACACAACCAACAAAAATAGACTAAAAACTTGCATACGCCACCATACCATGTAAAATTAATAAATAGGGCCCATCGATTTTAGGTTTGAGAAGTGACCCAAGAAAACAAAAAAAAATTGCAGTCCATGTATAACTTGTCATTTTAAAGCATGCATAAGATATTCTTCTTGATTTCAAGAATATAGACTGGACTTTCTCCTAGACTGCAATATGTTTAAAGAAGGAAAGTCGGAACAAGTCTTTTTCAATTGGGGATGTTGGAGTAGGTCAAGGTCTTTGTAGAGATCGGTTTGAGAAGAAACAAAATTAACACTAAAATTCTTTAACGTGGTGGAAAAATATCTTGATTAGGGAAACAACCAAGAAACATTTGAAACCTCTAAAAAACATTTGTGGGGAGTGAAGATGCTTAAGTTTCCCTTTCACCAAGAGGGAGGTCCTTTCTATTACTTGGAACTCAAGGTTCATCGAAAAGTATAAATTACATGCTTCATCGAAAAGTATAAATCACCTGCTATGTATACAAATATAAACCACCAATTTTAGAAACAGAACAAGAAACTGAAAGACAAAAAATGAGAGAGAGAGAAGACACATAGAGCAAAAAAATATGAGAAAGAGAGAAGAGACATAGAGCAAGAGAGAGAAAAAATGTTGAAGAAATTGAGAAGAAGAGTCAAGAGGAGAAGAGGACAATACAGCTATACGAGGTTCGGTCTCTTGGACTTACATCCACATTTGAAGGGCTATACTGCCGTCCCCATTTTCACACCATTTTCACCTTTACCAAGAATTAAATAAAAGCTACAAGATCACTACAAATTAGAAACTGATTCCCCAAATATCTCCTAAATATATCACAATCATATCCTACACAATTAATTACCCAAAATAAAATATTTGCATAGGTTGCCCACCATGTAAGATATTTGGGTAGTTGTGCACGGTTTCAACACTCCCACTCAAGTTGTTGCGCTAACAACTATTAAGCCCAACTTGCTTAATGTTTCTTGAAACTGTACTTTGCTTGTGGCCTTTACAAAGATATCTGCAAGTTGATTTTTACTTCTGACAAATGGAGTAGTAATTTACTTTTCTTGAACTGTCCTCACAAAATGACAACCATTTTCTATGTGCTTAGTATGTTCATGTAATACCGGACTTGATGTGATATGTATAGCAGCTTGGTTGTCGCAGTTCATAAACATTAGAAGCAAAAGATTGAAACCCCTATCTCTTAGAAGAAATTTTAGCCAAATTAATTCACAGGTTGTATTTGTCATGGCTTTGCATTTGGCCTCTGCACTAGATCGAGCAACTATCGATTGTTTCTTATTTTGCCAAGTTGCAAGGTTACCCCCTATAAATGTATAGTGCCTTATGGCAGATTTTCTATATGTAGGACTACCTACCCAATCTGTAACAGAAAAGGAAATAATATCAGTATGACCATTTTTTTCATTAAAATTCTTTTTCCAGTTGATGACTTAAGATATCTTAGAATCTGATTGACAGCTTCAAGATGAGCAATATTTGAAGAATGCATGAATTGATTTATTATACTGACCACATAAGTAATATTAGGTCAAGTGATAGTGAGATATATAAGTCGATCAACCAAACGTTGAAACTTCCCAGTATCTTCCAAAACTTTGTCTGGGTCTATGATGGCTTTATAATTTGTCTCAATTGGAGTATCAATAGGTTTACATCCAATCTTGTCAGTTTTGCTAAAACATCTAAAACATATTTTTTTTGGGAAATAAAAATACCTTTGTGAGTGTAAGCAACCTCAATTCCAAGAAAATATTTGAGTTTTCTCAAATCTTTTATATCAAACTTTGTTTGAAGGTAATCTTTCAATTTTGTTATGCCATTTGATTCACTTAATATTATAATTGTAATAACTCTAAAATTTCAAAAAAAAAAAAAAAAAAAAAAAGAAATAAACTTTTAATAAGTGACGGTCTATATGAGCATAATGGTCCTTAGGGACCATCACTATTTTCAAAATCTTTTGGTTAAGTTTCTTTTATTTGCTCCTGCCTTGCCACGTCAAGTGGCCGTGGGCTTTAAGCATATAAGGGGTATTGTAACGGTTACACCTCGTTTATGAAGTGTCACTTAATAAAATACTATAATAAGGTGTCGTAAGAGTTTAAATACGAGAGGCGAGGACTCCCACCCTAGAAAACTTTTGAAATCTTTCTCTTTCTGGTCTAAAGACAGTGAGCTCCTCTCCCTAGCCGAATTTTTCTCGGAAGCTCCCTC